AGGGCGATTTATTCCTCCTGGAAGTGAGAACGTTCCTAAGGTTAATGAACTCGATTTGGAAGATATTGACCCAGACGAGGATGATCTTGATGCCATCCTTGGTCGCGCGAAGAAGTCTGCCAAGGGTGGAAAGGCCGAAACTAAACAGGTCTTCCCACCTCTGGCATTCGCCCCCTACTTTACACGTGACCACTCGCCTAAATGGCACGTTTTCCTCACCGATAGCAAGCAAGGCAAGATTGCTGTACCACCTTTCACATTCTTTGCCTTCGACAAACCCATATTTGATGAGAGTGGAAAACCTACTTTCAACATGCAAACGCTTAAGGCACAATTCCAAGCTCCCCCACAGCCCGGAAGTTACACCTTTGTTATGCATCTCATCTGTGATTCATATGTTGGATTTGATACCAAACTTGAAGCTACACTTGTCGTAGAAGATGCAAGTAAGGCTATGGAAATCGACGCAGAGGATGATATTAGTGAACCGGATGAAGGTATGTTAAATCCAAAAATATCATTTTTAATTTGAGCTCGTACTAACAAATTTTATAATAGATTCTCTAGCAGGACAGATGCAAGCCATGAAAACCGGTGTCCCACCACCCAAAAAGAAGAAGCCAATAACTCGAGACTCGAGTGATGAGGATAGCAATACGGAAGAAGAAGTTGATGAACAGAGTGAAACGGATACAGATACAGATACTGATGGGGAATAATGAATCACGCTCGTCTACTTCTAAATTCATATCATGAATTCATTCTGAGGCGGATTTTCAATACTTACTCTTTTACGTTTTATCTAACTGAATCTCTTGGGTGTTTGGGATTTTGGGATTTTTTCTTTATTGGGGGATACTTTGTCGTGTGTACTTGTACAAAATAGGCGTGATGAGCATTTTGGGTTGGCGTTGTATGTTATACACATAGCTTGTTATGTGCGGCTGTAGCTTTGCTTGGAGTAGAGTAGAGCAGAGCAAAACAGAAATGCAATGCAATGCAATGAATTGGAAATTTCGATTATGAAAGACTGAATGCGTTTAATTTTCTCATGTTCATTCCAATCACATCATTTATTATTTATACGCTCCTATATGTAAATCCGACAGCTACTGTTTACGAATTGCAAATGACGTGAAGCATAAGATGAAAGTGACACGATTGATATTTGTCAACATGAATATTTCGACGCGTGATTCAATCCTTTCCATTTTCTCCTTTCCTTACTTACCAACACCAGTATTAAATGCAGATCCAGATAGGGGTTCAAGACTCCAAACTCATACACGCCGATTCCGAATCCCATCTTGGCGGCCCTTTTCTTCTTCCTATATAAAGACGAACAGAACAGAATAGAAGGCGATGTAAGTGAAGTACAACAACCATGAAAACTTTACCATCCCAATCCAAAGTATCTCCAGCTCACAACCCCCCTAACAGATCCTCACACCACAAATATCCACTCCCCTCCCTTCAATCTTTGCCCTTCTCCCAAAATATTCTTTCACGATTCCCTCCACAAACATATAATCGCCTGCGCTCCATACATCGAGACCCATGCGTTCCATATCTGCACTGCTGATATATACACAGCTCATTCCATCTCCTTCTTCTTCTTCCTCTTCTAAAGAGGAATTGTCCGTTGCGTCTCCTCCTCTACCGCTACCACTAGAATTGTTACGATTTCCTCTGTTGATTAATGGCGCCGAAGAACTATGTGAATGCATTCGGTCATCTTCGCGTTCATCATCCGAATCACTCGCATCAATAATATCACTCAAGCACGTAAGGATCTGCGTAGTCAAACGATGAAAATAGGCAATGATTCCCATTTCCGTTTCCGCCATCATCATCCCGCTCGCATTAAAACCTAACGGAGTGGGGAACGGATTTGGTGTATGAGGAGAGGATAGAAGTGCCGAATCAGCTTCCCATTCTTCTTGGGAGTGGAGACGTTGTTCGCCCGCTGAAGCCCACCATATGAATCCGGAATATGCGAGCGCAGCCCAGGAAACGGGCTCAATGATAGAGTCTGTGTCAGTGATATCGAGATTGGGATCGTCTCGGGGAGGAATAGTAGCAGTAGAGGTGTCAAGGGTGGTGGGGGAGGGAAATTGCTCGAGGTAGGAGGTGGTGGATGCGCGGCGCGAGGTGCTTATGTCTGGGGAGGCGGGCTGAGGGGTTCGGGATAGACCCCATCGGAGGGCTTTGTAGCGGCACAGATCGCGTTGAGTGGCTTTTAGTTCGATGCCGCCAGGCGATAATTCGATTTTGGGCCAGACTTTTGCGGTGGAGGTGGAGGCGTGGGGTGGTGGCATGGTTATTAGAACATCGTAGAGATGGGTTTTGGTAGCAAGAATACTGTCGGTTGTACAGGCTATCCAACCACAGCCAGGTTCATCGCGTCCTTCAGTCTGAACGGTATCTTCGGAAGCGGCTCTTCGTTTTGAAGCTTTGAGGTCATCTTCGAGGAGGGGTATATCGTGGACACCGATTGAGAAAAGGGGTCGAAGTTTTTGTGGTGGGGCAGTTGGTTCTAGTAGATCGCTGACTGCAAGTGGGATATTTGATAGAATGGATATGTCATACACTGTTTGATATTAGTTTATTCAAGAATGTCATAAAAAGGCTTTCTAACCAAAATCGCATGTCTCATGTACAGGCGCATGCGCACTGATCAAAATCCTCCTCCGTAAAAGTGCAGCTCTATGTATTGGGAATATCAAAGGGCCAAATGTGTCCAATAGTCTTGGCAAACTCCAAGCAGGGTGATATACCGACAATGTGTGTCCAGGGGGTATTAAAGCTGTGCCATCGGAAGCTGAGCGTTCTCTATTGTGACCTTTTGCTTTCGGTGGTGTATTCCGAGCTTTGTATCTAGCACTTGACGGAGACTCAAGTAGTGAGTCGGTGTCTCTACTTTTGCCCAGATCATCGCCTTTGTGACTTTCCCAAAATACCTCAAGTCGCTCCGTCTTGCTCTCGTCAAGTATAAGCTCACTGAAAAGAGCGTCAGCAAGTAACACACATCAATTGGTCGCGTAGTCATACCTTGCGAGATCCTTCAAGCTCTCAGCATGCTTCCAACTCCTACCCAATCTTCCGTAACTCAAAGGTACCATGATACCTACAGCAATCATCCTCGCATTCCTCGAAGTTTTGTCCGCAGGCGCATTGACGAATGCGCTGAGTCCTGCATAATTATCATGGGTGAAGTATATAAGATCCTCCTCCACTGTGTGTAATCCCGATGGCAGACTCCTATATTCGACCACTCCATCTAATTCGATGCCTGGTAATGAACGTTTCCATCCAATTGTATAGCCAGCCTTGATATCAAAATATATCATGAATAGTGCCGAGAGGGGTGGGAGATCGGCATTGATGTTACTGATTTCGATGTTCAATGGATCTTCTCCTCGATGTTGGGCTGCCATCGCATATCCAAAGAAATGGGATCTATGTGTGAGGAATGAATATAGATATGCCCTCGATTGAGGGTAAAGATATTTTAAGGAATATGGATGTTGTACTGTGCTGTGCTGTGCTGTGCATTATTTGATAGTAATAATTCCTAGGCAGAATGACGATGTTGGGGTGTTTGAGGTTTAATTATGGGGTGACAAATAATCCTTGTCCTTGTTCGTTTTTGAAGTTTGAGCTTGCATGTTACACGTAGGACTATCTATTGTAACCTTTATTATTAGTCTTACAGGAATATCACATTCATCACATTACATCGAGGTAATCATGGAAAAAATCTCAAAAATAGATGGGATGGAAAATAGAGTCAAGTAAACATCTGCATTTTCTATGGTCACATTCTCTCATCTACAATGATATTCATCTTTCTAGTAACGCGGGCTTAGGTATGTTCCAGCATTTGAGGGGTGTCTATGTATATCTTCATCGTACAGTATGAGGATATTGCAAGATCACAGGGTCAACGGCGTCGATCTCTATTGGTGAATATGACTCCCTGGTTGATCGCTACCCCTCTCTCTCTCTCTCTCTCTCTCTCTCTCTCTCTCTCTCTCTCTACTCATGAGCCTGACTCATATGCAGACGGCTATCATCTGAAGTTCAGTAGTTTGAGAAGATCTTAACCTACATACCTATGTAGATAAACATAGAAGCACTTGGAGATCAAGGCAGTTCTTGATTGCGAATTGCCTTCATGTTTGTTCTTTATACTGCATTGTAGTTGCAATGGAACAGAGCTATATATGTACTTGTTAGATTCATGATTTAGGCAATCTTCCTTTCTTGTACTCGTTGTCTTGAATGTCGTTGTTTAATCAATTGAAAGTTCTTTTCTTTGAGATCACCTCGGAATGTAGCTGGAATCATGTTTTTCCGAGGCGATGACAAGCTTTTTAAGGCAGGTCACAATATTTTATATCAAATTCATCTTTGGCAGCTCCATCATATGCTTTGGCATGTGAAGATGAAGACCATATAGAAATATTATGTTGCATTGTGTACACATCATGAACCATCTTCATTGTTGCCATATCAATCTGTTCTATCATGCTACCATTTACGGGAGTTATGATCTCGAATATGCTCGAAGGTCAAAAAAGCGTGGGGGCTATGCCATTTCTTGTTTGTCCTTTTGTTTAGAACAATCATACTAGAGAGTTCTGTTGTCATCATCTTCAAGTAAGTATCCTCCTCGGAGAAGTACAGCATCTTCATAACATGGCACCGCGCAAGGACAGTAGAAGATACACACCTTGATAGTTAGTTCTCATCCCAATTATCAAAAACATCAGATTCACTTTTCATACCAAGTTCGAGGACATGTGGGTAACACGATCTGATCTCTTTCAAACCAAACAAACCAGACGCGCCTCGAGAGTGAATACTGCAAGCAATTTCACATATCAGGTTTTGCAAAAATCTTTTTCCGATCTGTCTTCTTCACATAAATTTCAACAACAAGAATTCGAATATCTACAGCAGAAAGCCGCAAAGGTTTCAACGTTACAACTCCTACAATGGCAGGTGAAATACTTTATTCACTTAGTCCAAAGTCGATCAAGAGAGGAATCTTACAGAACCTCCAAAAGTTGTCTGTTGTAAGTTTCTTCCACCCCTTTCCCCCTTCTTCCCCTCCAAAGGTACCACCAGACAATGCTCGGGTGCTTCATATCCTTGCGAATCTAGGCCAGGTCTTCCAAAATTACAGCAGCAGTGATTGTCAATCAAAGCAGGAATCATATCAAGATTGTCGATGTTGTGGTCCAAACCTGTATTACTACCATCAATTCCTGCATCCTACAAACCACAAACATTTCTAATAATTATTCTAGCGAAAGCAAACAACAAATCCTCCACCACCGAATGATGGCTCGAACTTCATCATATCACCAGCAACACCTCCGCTCACTGATGATTATCATGATTATTTAAACTTCACCATGGGTAGAGAATCAATCTATGCTTCGGCAGCTAATGTCATGGGCAATGAATCGATCTATGCTTCAACAGTCGACTCCATTGATACTTCACCTTTGACACCTCCAATTTTTGAATCACCATTTCTTGAATCACCACCTCCTGGAACTCCACTCCTAGAACTTCAACAATTATCTTGGCCCTTGCCAGAAACCCTCCCAAGAATGTTCCTCCGCTCTTCAACCCTGACAACCTTCAGCCTCTTTCCCTACCTCCCTAAAGAACTGCGCGTCAAAATCTGGAAACTTGCTGCCAGGCACCCCCGCATTGTACACCTCACCTATGACCACTCAATAGAGTCACTCGTTTCACTTAGTCCCATTCCTGCACTTCTCTCTACCTGCGGCGAAGCGCGCGATGAACTCCTCGCTCTTTTCAAACAGCTGTCTCTTCCATCCTCAGCATTTGGAGCTAGAATTTACGTAGATCTCGATGTTGACACTGTTTATGTTCGACGACCTACAACTTCTGAATATGCGAGTCCTTATACTAGTAATTTCATGACTACCAAGGCGATTTTTGGTGCTAATGATTCGGCCGCTCGTCATCCATTGAGTGATGTTAAACATCTTGCAATCGATTCTTCACTTATTGATTCACCAATCGAACTTCGTCTTCTCTGGGGCGATTGGAATCATCGTTCTAAACCTTCGGATTTAAAATTGAGGGAGCTGGAAACTCTCAAAATTGTTTTTGCGCCCATTGGTAAGAGACCTGAGTTGAGAAAGGTTCGAGGACGTCCGCAGATTAGTTGCGATTGGGAGAATAATGGTATTGAGAGTGTTTCTATCTTGTCAAGAGAAGACATGATGACAGAACCTTCCTTTTCTCGTCGAGTTTTCAATTATAGACAAGGAGTGTTTGTGCCACAAGATCCGGATTTCTTGAGCAGAGTTCATGTTTGCGATAATAATGGGGAGGGAAGGGGAGAGAAGGATTTCGAATGTCCAGGTTGTCATGAATACATGAGTTTGGGTGCGTATAGAGCGTATATGAATATGATGGAACGCGATATTGTGGGTTGGAGAATACCAGAGTTTGAGGGGGTTGTGTATGAGAGGGAGAATGAGAAAAATATGGAGTATTGTTTGTGGGGTTGATGTTAATGTTGACTCTGTTTGAGATATTGGGGAATGAGAGATGAGTGATGAAGGATAATTGATGATGTCTGCGGACTGAAATTGGGAATGCAAGGACTTCGACGGTTTGTAAGATTATATTTTCTTTTGTGGATTTTTACTTGTTGCACAAAAGTTTCATTGACAAAGGATTTGATAGACGGATCGATAGAGAGAGTGTGTGTGAGATTCATGGACTGAATGTTCACACGACTTTATGAATTTACGAAAACATAGGCGTTGGAGCGAAGATACTTCGACCATTTATACATATTACACTTGTTACATATGTATCGGCAGAACGAATTTCCGCTTTTATCCCTCCACTTACGACGAAATTACAAAATACAATAGTGCGAAAATTCCTGCAGGTTCTAGGAGGATATACATGATGTATCTTTCTTACCTGGAGACAGAGAGAGGCTCATAGGATACAGAGAATGTAATGGTTATTTCTGCTGCTTGCAGCTAGATAGTGAGGGATTTCTTATTATAGGTGTACATACCTAGGTAGCTATTTTCATAGATGAATACATGGGGGTTTATTACGAACTTTTGGTATGCTGGTGTGGTGCTGATGTTTGACATTTGTTTTGTTGTGGGCGGCATTTGGTATGATGATGTGGGAGATGCTGATGTGTGTTTTGAGTATCTTGATGTTGCGAGAAGAAGCAAGAGTTTTTTGGTGAATACTGAGTCTTTTCTTTAATGCTGATATTTCAGATGACTTACCTTTCATCTTATCAGCGCTCAGGAAACTTGGGAATCGCTCCGTCGGCTTTCTAGATTTTCTTGCTCGTTCTATGGTGCACACAAAGGGAGCCCTCTTACTTTCCAGACAACCTTTGTCGATTTTCAATATCTCAGAGTGTGATGCTTGAGCAATGAAGCGTTTAAACCTTCTGCCACCTAGCGGTCAATGAGACGAGAATGATAGAATTCGATTTGACACAATAACATCCCCGCGCTCCTAGAGCCAGTTGATGAATATTATGCCTAACAACAGTAACAACAGTAACCGCTATATATAGATCCTAATCAACCCCGGAAACTAGCCCATAACTACGCACTGAGCTTGATTATCTTTTATAACAACAACGGAGCGGCCGTTAAACACTGTGCATGCTTCAAGTCAAGTCACTACCTACTTTAAGCTTCATTGTCGCACAGCTAGCTTGATGTGATTTCACGGACTGACTTGTATTCATTATTATCCCTCCAGCTTGTACATATTTTGAGATATTGAATATAGGGAGAAAATCGAAAAGGCCATCTAGCATAAAATTGAGGCATCTCCCTTTTGAGAGACCTGGGAGGGTATGATACGCACTTTATCTAAATTTACCGGTTTCAAATGTGCTGATAGTATTTCTATATTCGGCAAACAATATCTGATGTGATTTGATTATTTGCTGATACTGTTTTAAAGGGCATTGGAGTACTACATATAGAATACTCTGATTTTGATGAGAGACATAATGATGAGATTATGAAGAGAATACTCGGAAATATGTGGAGATTTGGCATATTTTCGTCTGCAGTCAAAGATTGATTGTTGTGTGTGTATATATGATTTGAATGATTCACTCTTTGCGGAACTACCAAATCAAGCACACGAGAATATCCATACAGACTTTCCGTTATTCTAATCCGAATCCGCGAGTGTAGAGATTCCCGAGATCTAAGTACAATACTGGCAAGAGAACATCCATCTTGTCAGAATCTCTTGGGGAAAAGATATCACTCACATATTCAATTCCTCGCAGACTCTAGAAAAACGTAGATAAGAATGTATGTATGTATGTCTCTATCGAACGAATAGGAAGTTTGACCATTGATATCAGTAAAACACTCCAAGGATGTAACCTCACTTCGGTGAATATGAAAATATACTTAAATATCCTTGAGGGGAGGGGGAGAAGAAGCTGATCCTCTATTGGACATTATAATTATCAAACACAATTCTTCATTCGTCATTAATTTCTATAAAACTATTCATGAATATTGAGGAGGTGATCAAACCCGCCGAGATGGGATATCACGTGCCAGGCGACTCGGCTAAGCAAAAAAATGCCAGAAAATCCAACCACCAAAAAATGGACAATAACAACAATGATATAAACGTGCAAAAAATTGCCAAAAGGTGAATTTGAAACATGAGAATCAAGGAATTCGATACTGAACTCTCTGACGGGGAGTCGAACCCCGGTCTCCCGCGACTTGCAATGTTATTGACAAGCGGAAATCATGACCGTTAGACCATCAAAGATGTTGTGTTATTGTTGTTACCGACGTGGATTTTTGAGAATATATAATAAGATCGTGCTGACCGGGGTGGGGAATGGTAGGTGGGGCGGGATAATACTTGTAGCAAGCGGGACTTGGGCTGGGTAGGAAAGAGCTACGGGGAGGGAAGGGGGAGCCTAGATGTAGTATATCATCAAAGATAATGTTTCCGGTTAGGAGCGAAGGGCTAAACATGATTAGTGTTGTCTTCAGTGTTATAAAATAAATTCACTTGTGAAAATTGGATTATGGTATTATTGTTAGAATACCAATTGAGTTCAACTCTGAGATTTTTACATGTCGGCGATAGGGACGTTGAAAAAGATAGCTGTCAAAGATTCAAGCTTGCCAAATCGTGAAGATAATGATAAATGCCCAAAGGCCAGCCACACATACGACTTCAAGTATTGTGAAGAAGGACTTGTCGAAATGAATTATGCCTACTCATTTACCTTCATAAAATTCAAATGACCAGAAGGCAGTTGTTGGCTTTCCAAAATAACGAACTTAATGTCTATTTCTGACGAAGATACCAGGTATGTCTTCGCTATAAGTTTTCCCTGCTAGACTTCTGCCTTTGGCGTTTGAGAGCTACTTACGCATGATGTATCTGTAAGTAAGTTCTAGCTTATTAAATTGCTCTCCTCTCCTCTTCTTGATCCGGGGGGAAGGAGTCCTTTACTCCGTAGTGAGGAGAGGAAATAAGAAGAAAAGGAAAATTGACAGGGTTTGGTAGGTAACAAGCTGATCATAGAGGATAAAGGGGAAGAAAGGCAGAGGAGAGTTTAGATATTCCTGTGATGACGTTAGATCGACCTTAGATCAAGGCGTTTTTCATTAGAATTTAGTCACATAATCGATTTCCTTCTCCTCCCATCAGGGAGAAAAGATAAGGAATGGATAATTGACATGATTTAGTAGCTTCTTGTAGGGCCCAGGAGAGAAGGAAGGTGTGGTAGGAAGCGAGGTTTCAATGATTGCAAGCAGCATAGGGTAAAATCTCTGACCGTGTAACAAGTCGCAATATGTATAGAATCTAACGCATTATATTTATGCTGTAAGCCAACATGATTATCACTAGTGCAGGAAGCAATGAACGAATCCATGGAATGCTCAATCGTCATGGTATCTGTCTGTTGTTAAGATCTCTTCGAACCAAATAATCTAGAGTTGGGTTTATGGCGATGTGGTGAATGTGAGTCGAGCTGCCACTCAGGGCATCCTGTCGATGATCTTGAACAGAATCTATTTCATGCTAGATCTGCTAGTTCGAGAAGGTAGCCGTGGGTTATTACATGGTGAAGGATCAGGGGAGGCTGATCATCACTTGATCAAAGCTACATGCCCTCACGATTTGTTGCAAGTCGCAGGTTGAGGCTCATATACAAGATGAGATAAACCAGATCCTCTGGACGTTTTTGGCGCTGTTGGCGCTGTTGGGCCTTAACATTGAAGCTATCCTAACGCTTGCCACTGATGTTAAGAGATGGAAATCCTATATGCATATAGCCGCGCTATGTGGGTGGATCCAGGCGGGTTCTGAATATTGCGAGCTCCACCACACCCGCTCAACCAAACCTGATGCCCTCAAATCCCCACTGTCTTTTGCATACAACTTATACACATTTGAGCAGTGAGATGTATATAGAGTTGGCACTTTGGCGGAGTGGTTAACGCGATGCCCTGCTACTGTGTAAATAGAGTCAGGCATTTCCTTCGGGAGCGAGTGTTCGAATCACTCAGGTGTCGTTTCTGAGATTCAACTTTTGCACTTTTGACATGTGATTTTCATCCTGGTTGGTTCTCTCTTTTTGGCTCTCACTCTTTCAAGGATGAAATCAATCGATCTCATGATGCGTAGAGAGATCTGTAAGGGCACAACTGTAAGATTAGACCTGAGCCTTCTTCATTTATTAATCAATCATCTGGGTTATCTATACCATTCATGGACAGCATTAAATATAATCAATTCTGAGTTCTGCGCCGTTCGGCTAAGGACTTGATTATGCTTAAACTGTAGGATCTGACTGTATTAGAAGAGGAGCGCGTGGAGCATCAATTGAAGTATGAATCTGTACAATGAATCCCATTCTTTGACATAAAAGTCGACGCCAAATGTGGAGTTTTGATACTTAAGATAGCTGAATTGAGGCGGTGAAGAATGGAGCGTGATGTAGTAAGATATTATATAATCATGTTTCATTGGTACGCTCGCATCTTTCATGGTGTTAGCCTTGTAGCTCAGGCGAGGCTATTTCCGAAGGCCAAGCAAAGAGGATGTACAAGTTAACTTAAATCTCACAATGTCAAGGGATTTCTGGATTCGAAAAGTCTCAGGCAAGGGAAGAACGCCTACAGATTGGTGGAATTCCATATGCACCACCTCATGCACCCTCCACATCACACAAGGCTGAGGATCAAGAAAGGGGAGCATGTCAGATTGCCATGTAATGGGCAGTGCTCTATATATGTATATATTGACATAGGTAGGGACTTAGCTTTCCATTCCAAGCCTTTTCTACTTTCATATGAGAGGCTGCATCGTATCTACTTGCTTATTCATTCACGCCATCATTGACATTACGATTGGATCCCCCGGAAAGTTTTCGAAAGTTTTGAAGAAATAATGCCTATTGGAACCCCCGATCAAATATTACCTCGATCTAGGAGATGTGGACCCAAAGTGAAGACAGGCTGCCAAACTTGCAAGTATGGATTCGAAATGTTGTTCTGTCAAGGAATGATTCCCATTGACATAATCCAGGATACGTCGAGTCAAGTGCGATGAAGCCAAGCCTTCGTGTGAAAGATGTGTTTCCACTGGACGAAAATGTGATGGGTATTCCACAGACCTAAAGAGGTTGAGCCCGGAGATACATACATCGTCAGGCATCCAGCGAGTACCTACATTCTTACCTGGTACTGTAAATGAACGGCGAGGTTTTCAATACTTTGTTTCCAATACAGCAACAGAGCTCAGTGGATATTTTGATCCCTCGTTCTGGAACCACCTCATATTGCAAGCAAGCTCTGTGGACCCATCTCTCCGGCATGCTATCATAGGACTTGGGACTCTCCACGAAGATTTCTCAAACCGAAGATTGGATCTTGCAACGAAATGCGATGCTGCAAGATCAGGATTTGGGTTCGCTACAAGTCAATATACAAAGGCCATTTCGCACCTCAGACGATCATTAGCGGCAGGCAAACAGAAACCTCTCACGGCTTTAATGGCTTGTATCCTTTTCGTTTGCTTTGATTCTTTACGGGGCCATTTCTCAAGCGCAGTGATGCATTTGCAGAGCGGCCTAAAGATTCTACAGAATTCGCGACTACGAAACAATTCTCAAGACGAGGATCTGATAGAAGAAAACATTGTACCTATGTTTATGAGACTTTGCATACAAGCTATTCTGTACATCGATACTAGAGAAGTTCCAGAACGTATGGCTTTCGCGACAGTAATATCGACTATCAGTACTCGAGAAAATATAATACCGAGAGAATTCAAAAACCTGGATGCAGCAAGAAGAAGTCTCCTCCACGCATCCGATAGCCTTTTCCGAGGGGGTTACTTATGGGATGGTAACCTTCCTTCCGCCTGTCAACCAAAAATAGCGATGGATTTATATGTAAAATCCCGTACGCAATTGGACGCTTGGAGAGTCTCATTTGAGAACTTCATGCAAAACCAGAGTCATACTTTTGACAGTAAACAATTGAGGGGTGCTGCACTGTGCAAAGTACATTATGCAACTGTGCATATTATGGCTAGGGTCACCGAACTAGATCTAGACGACCCTCGAATCATCAAGAACTACGTCAATGATCCCAAAAAGTTCGCTGTGTTCGATTTGGAATTTCAGATCATCGTCAGTCTGGCGAGATCTTTAATTAACGCTGCCGAGGAAGATGCTAAAGCTGGAAGACCTGCATTCACTTTCTCAACTGATCTGGGGTTGATTGCTCCTTTATATTGTAAGTTGCTTCATCTGCAATATTGTAACCAAATGCTAATTCCACTTTCTGACTAGTCTCTTGCATGAAGTCACCCAATGAAGCAACTCGACGCCAAGCACTGGAACTTCTACTGCGGTGTCCAAGAAAGGAGGGGATGTGGGACAGCTCATCAACAATCAACCTCGTCCGAGGTTTCTGGAATCTTGAACAGAAACTGATCTATCGACCAATAGGAGTATATCCGGTTTCAGAAAAACTCATTCAGATGAGTGAGGTGGTAAATCTTGTCCTGAACAAGGATATGCAATGGGAATGGAAACTACTCTCTGAAACCCCGACAATACAACCTCCTCAATGCACACCTGGAGACAACTTCTCGAATCTGGAGGACTTCAGTTGGCTACCAACTGATTTGGAAGATATTAAATCATTTGAAATGGCTGACGGAAATCCCTTTTTGGGAGTTTATTGGCCCTAATTATATCCGAAGAGACGATGAAAGTCTATCAAGAGACGCAATACTTACATTTGTAGAGATAGGAAGGCGCCTTGTAGATGTGTTTTTCGTTTTATCACAACATACCCACGCATGCACACCTAGTTCTCCTCCTCAAATACCTTCATGAAAATGAATATACACAAACACAGACACAGACACAAACCCAAGCTCCTCACTACTAACCTCTCACCTAAAGAAAAACAAAAACCTAAACGTAAATAAATAGAAGATATATTGAATTCTTACAATTACACTATCTGTATGTAAAGCCTCAAAATCACCCTCTCCTCCCAAAAGTGTACTCCATGGAGTATGCGCACGTATCAAATAATGTATCTTACAAAGAGAGGAAACAAACGCCCGCAAGAAATATACTCCTCCAATCCATTCCCCCATGCACGCGTGTTTCCGTCCACTACCAAAGTTACGTCGAATTTTAAGTCTAGCAAATTAAAAAATACAAGCACCAAGCAATTCACTCATCCCAAGCGAGCTACCCCTTAAAAAGCAGTAGATAATACACGAATATTCCCATAGTCGTCTACCCCCTCGTAGCCTCCAACGCCGCTGTCAACGGCACAACCCTCAAACTTCTCACTCTCTTCAAATCAGTTCCCCCTTGTTTCACGCTCGGCTGTACAGTAATAGTTGGGGCTCTTCCCTCACTCCACTTCCTAAACACACTTTTCAAATCTTTCGGGATCCCTTCAATGACTACTGTTGAAACAGGTACAAAAGGACGATCTTCCATGCCCGCTGAAAGAATCCCATATTCCTGTACGAATTGAAGTGCGGTGTGGAAGGGGCCATATTGGGACTGAGCTTTGGCGCCGATGACAATGTAGATTTCGAAAAAGGCATCAAGAATATAAATACCAGTTGGAGAGAGGTCGGCTTGGGAGAAAGGGTTTATTTCGATGATCTGGGATTTGTCAGTGAGAGGCTATGCAATGAAGAAAACAAGAACATACTTGTTCTTTGCCTGTAGCGGTAGCACAGAACAAACGAGCGGAATATTTATTATAGGCTGGCTTAAGTTTCCAGTGATCAGCTGATTGTGGAATTTGTTTACAATTCTCGAACGCTCTCAAGAATGACGAAGGTTCATCGCCATCCTCAATTTCTTCGATATCACCAGTCATTGATATTTCCATTCCGAGGAGTCTAGCACAACCATGCTCTTCAGCGGTACTACCTCGTCCCTTCCATAGATATGTCTTACCTGATGGTGAGGATATAAGATATGGAAACCCGGAGCATAAGACTGAAGGAGAGTAATCAACCTCGTCGAATACCAACATTCCATATTGTTGTCTTGCGCAGAGAATATGAGGTGCGAGGGAATCATACTTGTTAGAAGATCCTCTCCTGATAATGATGATACCACCTAGAGCTTGGTAAAACTCTGGAGTTTCTTTGCCTTGTCTCAATGTTACAAAATGACCACCAAAACCTTTGGCTTCTCTCTGAGCAAATATCTCGGCGCCGGTAACAACTCGTTCAGAAACTTCATCTCCAATCCACCAGTATACTTCTGTCGCTTTTCTACCATTCGCATTGATAAATGTATGGGGGCATAAGTACATCTCACGCTCAAAAAGAACACGCTCTTGATGAGTAGGAACAGACTGCCTCTTTCCATCCCCAAACAAATAAAACAGGCTGGATTGCAATGTCCGTATCGTTGAAATGGTGTCTTGTCGTGCCATTAAAATGCTTGCTGTATCGACTGAGTAAGTTGGGGTTGGCTTGGGTTCTTCACCGAAGAAATCGGCGAGAAGCTGGGACGCTTCAGATGCTTGAGGTACTGGGGAGTAGGCCATGCTGGGTGAACGAAGACCTGGGCTCATTACTGGTGATGTTAGTGTTTTGGTTGGAGGGATGGGAAGAGCGCGCGCGGGTGTTGGCTCTTTTGTAGATTTTGGTCCCATTCGTAGTCCTAGATCAATAGACTTATTTCGCTTCAACGGACTAATAGGCGGTAAACCTACACCTGCTAGTTTTATTTTCTCGTCTTCATGAGACTTGTTCCGTTTTAATGGACTTCCAGGTCGCAAACCTGCGCCTACTAAAGCAGCCTTCTCATCTTCGTAGGTTGGTAATTGTATTGGAGAAGGTATACGAGCAGGTGGTTCTGCAGTGGATCGACCCCATAATGCTGCAGTATGCTTGACTGATCTCGATGGACTGAGTGGTGGTGGCTGATCAGAACGAGGTGAGAATTGCGGTGAAGATTTTAACGAATTTGCTTTTCTTGGGGATAACGGAGCAGGACGAAGCTTTGCAGTCTCTGGCGACACAGGTTCATTGAATGTACGATCTTCATAAATTTTGGTTGGCGATGGAGATTTGGCAGGCGCTAGGGGCTCTGGCTTTGGTGGATCTGGCAAGACTATTGCATCGAGCTTGTTGTGGTGTGCCTTTACCGTGTTCTCGGGGAAATTAGCAATTTTGACGGAAGAAAGTGGTTTAGGGGCTTCCAACGATGGTGTATCCTTATTCTTTGGTGCTTCTTGTAGAAAAAGAGATCGCCTTCTCATATCTAGCTTCCGTGGTGATGAAGGCTGAGAAACCGGAGTGGTTTCTGGCACCTGTTCTGTGTTCAAGGCTGAAATTGTCTGCTTTATTGGGCTTGTAGCAGGCGATGAAAGTTGCTCAGACACAGCGAAAGACTTGGTAGGGGATGTGACGGGAGCATTTTCTTCTGCTCTTTCTTCGGCTTCTGGTGCTGATGAAGTTTGGGTTGGTGCGGTTGTAGATGGCGCCTTTCGTCTTGGTCCACGGGCACGCCCCTTAGTCATATGTGTGAGTTGTGGTCCATTCTCGCTCGATTCGGGATTAGTTGTCGAAGTGCTCATACTGATTGTACGTTGAGATAACGAGGCACTTGAAGATCTTGAGGTTTCACTAGCAAGTGAAGGCGGGCCCCTGGCAAGTAAATCTGCGAGACCAGGATTAAAACGTCCAGCAAGCTTACCTCCAATTGCATTCTTTTCTTGCATGCGTGCTGGGGCACTGGTTTCCTTGACTAAGTTTGGAGTGGGATTGGCAGAAGCATTCCGCTGTGGTGAACTAGACTCCCAGGTCGATGCAATATTAGAAACGGAACCGTTTCTTCCAAGGGTGTTTCTTCTCCGCAACGCTTCAGGTACCACATTCTCCCGTCTTTCGCTACTGGCAGATCTCGAAACTCCATTTCCCTCAGCTTGTACTTTCTTGAAATCCTCTTTCTTTTTCAATATGGCATCTTTGAATTCATCTTTACGTTCAGTTTTTACGGGTCCTCCAGTAAGGTTGAGACCTGCCTTGCCACGTGTGATATTGTCCTTGAGCATATCCGGAGCAATGTAACTTTGAGTTTTCGTCCTCCGTAGTTGACCAAAGACATTCTTAAATTCTGGCTCTTCTTTGGGCTTTTCATCAGCAGGTACCTGGCGTGATTTCAAAACAGAGCGGAAATCGTTCTTTGGAGGAGTTGTGGGCTTGGGTTTCACGGAACTAGCAGGTGAATTCAAATTGGCTTTGGGTGTTCCAGATGGGGTGGATGTAAAATTTGGATTGAGTTTTGGTATGGTATCAGAAATAGGAGTGGAAGTGGAGGGTGTCAATGGTCTTTCGGCTTTTGTATTTCCAGCGGCGCTCTTGCTATCCTGATTGATCATGCTCTCGATGTTTCGCTGTGGTGTAGTGCCAGGAGAAAATGCTGTTGGGAAGCCTCGAATACTTGAAGGAGTTGTCAATGCGCCAGGAGGAGGGGATCTCATTAGCCCACCAATATTTACTTCGTGCTTCACGGTCTGACTTCTACCCAAGTCGACACTGCCTTTCTGTTTTGCTCTGTTGATTTCTGACATCCACGATGGTTGTTGAGGCGGTGGTGTGGCTTTGGGTTTCGGTGATTCAGGTTTGTTTAACGCGCTCTCAAGCCAACTAGATTTGGTAGGACTCCATCGTCTCGAGTCCGCGGTTTTTGTAGGGCTGACAGGCAAACTATCATCTGCTGGAGGCGATTGATTCCCACTATCTACCTCTTTAGCTTCGGCCGGGTTGTAAGATCTAGCTGTTGCCAAAGATGGTCTCATGAAGTTGGAATTCTCATTCATGGTAGAATTTGTTACATTGCTTCTCATAGAGCTTGCTGTGCCTGGGCGGTGGAGTTCACCATGGCTTGAGGTAGGTCTTGATGCAGGCCTTGAGGGAGAATTGGATTGATTATCCGCAGTAGGATCAAAAGACGAATTCTTCCGATCTAATGATGGTGAAGCAACCGACCACCGCTTGTTCATACTCTCCGATCGTTTCATCATCGCACTTTGGACAAATCCACCCATTCCTTTGGTTGGAGAATTGGGTCGGTCTAGTCTATCGGGCGATATGCGACCCTGCGAAGGTGACATTGCTAGGCCTCGAGTATCCGACAAACTATCAGCAGCAGGTGGATCCAACCTCTGGGCGTCAGTCACTGGAATTGGTGATCCCATGCCAACACCCGGGTTGCTTTGAAATAACATTCTAGAGCCGCTTCCATATGAAATACTATTCCTTGCTGGAGGCCTTGTAGGTGTTGAAGAATAATCCTTGACCTCGTTCGGTGTCTTGTCTGGCGTAGAATTGTTACGAGTCATTCCTGGCATCTGAATTGACCCGTGTATTGCTCTTTCTTCGTCTTCCACCTGATTCGTTCTGTAAGCTGGTGAATTAACGCCTCGATCAGCGGTTTGCCTAAACCAAGCTGGATCTTTGGATGCTAGTGATTGCGCAATTTGTTCACGAGAAGGAGTATTATCATCGGCAGACGTAGCATTCTCAGGGGTCGGTGTAGTTGTGCTCGATACCATTACCCTATCTGTAGCAACCATGGATAAAGGTCGACTTCGCGGTTTATCGGAAGGTTCTGGTCTGCGAGCCCATGATAAAGGTGAATTTCTTGAGGGCATAGCATTTGACGGTGAATCTCTAAACTGAGAGGTCCGCCTTAAATCCGGCACTGAATTTAAGGCCATTTCGTCTACGTCGTTGTCAACAACACTCCCGCGCCGAGACTCAGAAGATTGGTCGTCTGAATTTGAAATTATGCCTGATATGGGTCTTCTAGGTGTACTCATAGGAGAGGACTTCGTAGGTGAGATGGATAATGCCCTTTCTGAAGTAAACATTAGCAAAAAGTACATTTCTGACCTATCGTATTATAGCATGGCGACGGGCGGAACAATGTCTCTAAAGAGAAAGTTTAAATAGAAATCAATTACCAGCTCTACGAGCTTGTCTTTCTTTTCTCCCTTGCAAGATCTCTTCTTCTAACTTTCTTGTGCGGTCTTCGTCTTCTTGGTCCCGTTTATTGCCCAATTCTTTGATACGCTGCAAGAAATCATTGACATCGGGCTCTCCTTCGGTATTCGACATGTTTACAAGAGGCGGCAGCACAACAACACGGGAGAAGAAATATAAATGGTGTATTTCAGAAAACAGGACAATCCAAGTTACAACTCGGCGGGGTAAACGCGTTTGCACGAGGGGTCGAGGTTGTTGAGTACCTCGAAGGATTGTTCTAGTAAGGAAGGTTGAAGCTTTCAAGGTTCGCTTGGTCAAGGTTTCATAAAGTTCATAACTTAAGCTGCAAGCTTTCATTTAAGTAAGGTTACGAGCACCTGAATATGGATACAACCTTGGGTTGTTGCCATTTTTTCTTTTTACAACTGTACATACATAAAACGTGGCACACATTCTATCGTCGTGTACTTGCGTGCTTCAAAAAGTCATGACAGATGTGTTGATGCACACTTCTCACGATAAGTTTCGAATTCTCTATACCTACCGACCTACCTACCTGTTGACCTATTCATAATTGATCAACATCTACTGGGTATACGAAGTACTTCGTGCCGTTTCTTGAGCGGCGGCTGTCACACAATTACGCGCTTAAGTCGTATACAAACAATAAACAATAGAAGTTCCGGTAACCCAAAACACAGAAGATCCTGCCCCGATTATCAATTTTTTTTTTAACAAAGGGGTAAGGTTATTAAGGTACCGGTACCCGTACAGTGTACACCCATCTGGGTAAGCTGGGCACAGAATTAAATGACACTAGAGAAGTCCCAAATTAAAATAAACAAACAAATCTCTTCTTTTCGTAACTATGTCACTAATAAATGAGTTGAATGGGATGTTCCTAGTGTTGGGTTGAACGAATTTCGGAGATCCACCAGTGGTCTAGTACTCCGTATAGGTAGGAAGGTTCCTAGTAAGTACTCTATTTTGGTAGTAGTGAACTTTTTCGACTCTTTCACCGACGTCAATATAGAAATAATCGTTCCTTGGAGTCTTCGACAACCCAAGTCAGTCCTTCGTCCAAATTATCGCCTGTGATCGCGCTGCAATTAATGATGTGCCATTTGTGCGTCCGAATTTCATCTAGCACCAACATCTATTTCCGGTTAGTATGTCCACATCTCTTGACGACGCCCTTTACGCCCGCACATGTTTTCCCAGTCTTCACTCACATCTTTTATTTCGGTCTTGGTCATGCAGCCATTAACATCTGTCTTGTTGGCAAATACAAGAAGACTCGCACCAGAAAGTCTCTATTCAGTGTCAGTTATTGGCATTGTAAAAACTCAATACTTTACTATTAACAAACCTCTTCCTGAAGTAAAGCATGCAACTCTTCCTTGCAATCTTCAATACGTAGACGGTCAGTGGCATCAACCACCCATATCAAAGCATCAGTCTTCTCAAAATAGTTTCTCCAGTATGATCGGAGAGTCTTTTGACCACCAACATCCCCTACAATTGTAAGGTTCAGTATACATTTCACTAGAAATAGCGGAAAGTTAAAGAGGTAATACAAATGTTCAGCTTGTAACTTTAAATGGTCAGCGTGCTGTAACTTCCTCATAGGTGGCATAACATGTACCCAGAATGCTCAATAGTCTTGATGATGAAACCCAGTGTTGGGCTCACAGTATTGACATCTTCGCCCATGATTCTTTTGACTATCGTAGTCTTGCCAGCATTATCCAGTCCGCTGTGCGAAAAATCAGAAAAGGACGATCAGCAAGGAAAGATTGTCAGGGGGAATAGCAGTCTCATACAGCATCAAAATTCTCATCTCCTTGTCCTTGAGTCTTGCCTTGCGTAAGATAGATAACATCTTTACCAGAATCTTTCAATGTCGTCGTTGGCATTACTCCCCTCAAGTGTTCATCGCAGGGAAGAAATGAAGCGTTCTGCTCACATTCTATGGAGAGACAGATAAATCACGTGATGCATTATAATGTTCTGACGTTTCAATGTTCGTTGAAAAGTGAATCATTTAGATATTGATTTTTCACTACTCAGACAATAGATCAGATTGTCATTTGTGGCTGCTGGAGATGTTCTTGCGTGCTTGTCAGTCAGCGCAACGAGATGTCAATATGTCGATACTGCAAGTTGTAGCTTCCCGATTCAAAACACAATCTCTCTTGTAGCCAGTCACTTTTCCATGAAGAGATTAATGATAGACGGATGTTATAATATGGTATGTGATTGATAAATTGGAAACTCCTCGTACTCTTCTCAGTTCGAAGTTTGATCTTATTCGACGAAGATGAAAAAGTCTCAACATTCATGAAAATTTTCAATTTCTGTTCCTCTCGATTATCTTACTTCACTCAATTCACTCCTCCGCAACACACCTCGTTCTAGTAGACCAGTGACAAATTCACCTTCAAGCTTGTCTCAACAACACACTAGAGCAACAACTCAGCCACGACAATAAGAAATTTCCTGGGTACCTTGTTGTCGCTTTCTGTTGAAGGTATTTCTTTCTTCTACAAAGTTGTTATCAATGTCTTCGTCGTTTCCTCAATCAGCTATACAAACAGACAAAATTACTACCGTCTTTACTCACAGTTTCTCTCATCTGCCTCGTTTAGTATTCCACGCACAGATAGCGAATCATTTTTGCAGTTCCATTCCCTTGCGCGACTCACTGCTGCTTTGAAAACTCCAATTTATACTCACCGTCGCCAGTTATCTTTGTGTAAGTACTTCCGCCTTTGTACCAGTCTCGCGACAATGGAAAATACATCCAAAATAATAGTTTCAACGAAGAGGGATGAAGACTTTGAGAAGGCCCGTATCAAACGCCTTCGAGGTGAATTTGAACAAGATTTTCTAGCATTCAAAGATGAGGTGCTTGAGATCGCTGGAAAGGTAAACGGTCTTGGTTCATCCCGATTCGCGGTTGGTCACCAGAAGCTCTATCAAGTCACACCAGGCGGTCCGAAGAATCTCGACTTGGATGACAACTCTCTGTGTAGACATACACCTTCACCGCCATCAAACCCGGCGAAAATGAGCGTGTTGACAGGAAACAAGGACTTGACTTCCCAGTTGTTAAAGCTGGGGGGCTTCAAGAATTCTCGCTGTAAGTCTCCTTTCCCATATCTATTCTTTCGCTCGCTGATTGTATAAGTTTCTCCAAAGGTTCACGACAACACCGTCGACAAATTCAACTTTCAAAGCAGTTCCGGGGAAAGTGCATTGAAGGCAAATGCGGTCATCTCTACACCGACCAAGCCGAAGAGTAGATCTCCTTCATTGAGTGGTCCGGCCAAATCTTTCACACCTCGGAATCTCGAGGGGTCGCCTTCTAGTGGCGGCGGTGGTGTTTCATTGGCTCCAGTTAGTCTACCTTTCAGTCTATGGCTGCCATTACTGACTATATAATCAAGTGCTCAACCACCGTTGTCAAAGATAGCGCAGTCAAGAAGATAACTCCTGAGAAGTTGATGGAGCAGAGGCTCATGGCAGACTTTCACAAGCGCATGGGTAAATCTCAAAATGCCAATTCACCCAAAGTCGACAGTGCCAATGAGGTTATCATGGTCCCAGTCTTGGTATGGCTCTTGATTCTATCATCTATTCACATCACTAACTTCAATTTAGTCTCCTAGTGCTATTGTCCCAGATGCCCAAGCAATCACTACTACCAATGAAGATATCTCAGTCTCAAGCCAGGGGCTCTTTCTTGCTATTGAATCTGTTGCGCCATCTTCTATCCCAGCTACACACATCACCAGCTCTCCGGTGCAAGCTTCAATTCCTGGTGGTACAAGTAGTGAGTCGTGCCCACTGACTACTATTACCCAGCCAGTCATTTCTGGTCGTCCCCTGATGAGGGAAGACGAATTTATGAGAATGCTACTTAAGGATAAACAAGAGAAAGATTTGAAGAGAAAATCTATCGCTGCTTCACGACCAATAACACAAAACAAAAATCTCAAGGGTACACTTCACTTTTGAAACTAAAAAATTCTTCAAAGCTAGAAATCTTTTAGGGCTAACAGAATTGTGCACCAGTGAATATACAGCAATTGAAATCTGATTCCCCTCCCTCTTCCCCAAATCAGGCCCCGCTTTCCCTGCAGCCCCAAATATCTACAGATGAGGAAGTCAACTCGAATAACAACAATACTTTTGAGCACAAATTAGGTAGGTTATATTGGCGCTGGCCTCAGATTGATTCAACAATTTCTGATAGTTTTATCCAGAATCCCCCAGTACTGAAAAGTCGACCTTTCCTCAAAGACAGAACTCACACACGAAAATGTCGAATAAGCCTCTAATTTCCGCACCAGCCAACTCGGTAAGCATTTGATCACTTGATGTGTCCGTTTTCTTCTGCTTTTACACGATCTTTTCCCTCTGATTTGACGTTTCATTCTCTGATTCATCTCCCTTTCATCCGTATACCTGTCGTGAATTTGAAGGGTACAAATCTTGCTAACCTACATTCTTATAGTGGACCATTGCAAAGTTGACTCAAGGCAAGACTCTAAGCAAAGCAGATGAAGATTTCCAGACATTCATTGCGAACAAAGCGGCTGCAGATGCGGAGGTACGAGCACAACAACAAACTGCTCCACAGCCTATATCACCAAAGCCTGCTCCCAGAAAGCCAACACAGGCCGAAGCAGATGCAGAAAAGCGTAAGCTAGCGGCTGGAACAGCCGATTTCAGTGTGTTTCTTGCTCGCCGCTTCGCAGATTTCCCGATAATCAAGAGGGAAAATATTCTCAATGCAAAGCCTTTCGCTGAGAAAGGTGTTAGTGTAAAGAGCACGATTGATGATAATCATACGAATACTGCTATTAGTTTGGCTGCTTTGAAGGGCGAATCTTCTCAGGACAAAATTTCCCACGTTGCTGTTCACAGTTTCGCACCAAAGGAGAAAAAGGCTACCATTCTTTCCAACACACAAGTCAACGATCCATCGGATGGAAAGCTTATGAATAACTTCAATCAAGCTGTTAGCATCGTCTCTTCGCCTCCATTCTGGTCAATCTCTAGCTTTTCTGACATTGGCGATAAGTTGAAAAAGGCCGACATTGGCACAGAATCCAAGGAAGGCGTTC